CTCCTAAATCACTCGTACGCACAACTTAAGAACAAATCTGTGCGTACGAACGGTTCTTGCACGAGGCCCAATGTTCCCATAAAGACATCTTTTTCAAGGAAGTCCTTGAATATTTCTAAAAGACAACATTAATTACATTTTCATTCATTATGAGCATATTACCCCTGTTCTACACTATCCTCACTGGTTGCCTGTTCCTTTTAGGATTGATTTTAAAGTTCTACTTCTGGTTTTTAAATGTCTAAATGGTTTGGCACCTTCTTATCTGTCCGATGTTATACATCGCTACCAACCCGGTAGAGCTCTGAGATCTGAAGTTCAGATGCTCTTGGTGGTTCCCAGGACTCGGCTGGTGACTAAACGGGACAGAGCCTTCTCAGCTGTAGCTCCTAAACTCTGGAACAAGCTTCCTCCCTCTGTGAGGTCTGTTAGATCACTTGATGATTTTAAATGTCTTTTAAAGACTTATCGTTTTGCTGTGGTTTTTAATTCTGGAGAGTACTGTACATGCAGTGGGTCAGTTTWTTTTAACATGTTAATGTTTATGTTACTTGATTTTATCTGATTGTATTTTTATTCTGCTGTGTAGCACTTTGGTTGCCATTGGCTGTGAAAAGTGCTATACAAATAAAGTTTTGATTGATYGATTGATTGTTAAACTRTTAAATCCATGACATTATGGTTTTGTAGTCGAAGAGACCAGGGGTCAGATTTATAAAGGATTGCGTGGAAACCATACTAAAAGTGAACGTACGGCCAAAAGACGAAAATGGCGTACGCCAAAAAAAATTGATTTATAAAACTGTGCGTACGCACGTTTCACCGCATTTTCCCTTTATAGATCACAGCTGTGCATCATAATTTGCGCACAAGGTCCCGCCTCAGGTTCTACCCTCTACACGCCCACACTCAACCATAAACAGTCAATGTAAAGTACCTCATGAATGTTAAGATGTATTTAAATCAGTCAGCTGATCAATGCCAAAAGAAGTGATTTGGCTCAGACATGCGCTGCGTCGTGCGTCTGGAGGATGACATATGCTGACAGCTGCTCATGTGAACAGATTGTCTGTAATTTACACATCTTTTCCCTCATTTTGCAGGTTTACAGATGTTCAGAGTAATCTAATAATTTATTTCAAAAACTCAGCTTCAAATTAATTTTCTCTCAAGAGGACAATAAAAACAATAATTAGAATAAAATAAGTCAGATAAAGTTAAGTTCACTGCTCTTCTTCCCCGTCCTCCCCCTCTCTGCTCTGTTATCTGCAGCAGACCCCCACACACACACATCCCCACAGCCCCGCTTCCCCCCGACAAACACGTTTTTTTAAAAATGAACTTTTTATAACATCCACACTGGTGAGGGTGGGCACACCCTGCGAGTACCCAAAGCGTGATGTCGTGCTGTTGAAATGTCTCTTGTCGGGGAGGGGTCTGTGTGTCGGGTCGTGAGGAGGAAGCAGATGAATGGATGTGTGAACCTTTATTTAAGATTTAAGTTTTTTTATTTCAAAGCTCCTTCTGGCTCAGCAGCAGAAGCATAAATAATGCTGTTAAGAAAGCTGATGATAAAGTTGAAAAAAATCTAAGTCTGATTCTGAAGGTAAATTAAATATCTGACAGTGATCATTACACAGTGTGGCTCTRATTCCTCACTTCACCATCTGTGTCGCAGTTTCACGTCTCCAAAATGAGCGTACACATGGGTCAAAGCTGGCGTGAGGCACCACACATTTTCACGTCAAGTTTGGATTTTATAAATCACAACCTTGGCGTGAAAAGTGGCGTACGCAAGTTTCTGGGCTCATATTGTGTGTACCCAAGCGTTATAAATCCGACCCTTGGTACTGAACTGGCCTACCTGCAGTCCAGACCTCTTATCCATTTAAAATATTTGACACATCATTAAACAGAAATTGGGCAAAACCAACTGGGAGTTCTAACCTTATAAGTGTTTATAAGAATCACTGTTATGTCACATGAGTTATTGACCCACTTAAGTGCTTTGGGTCGGTGTCACTTCCCAACAAAGCCAACACATGAGCTGTTTTAGTCATATTTTAAATTTGTGAATGTTTGTAAAACTGCCTTTACCTTTCCTCCTTGTTCAAACCAGCCTTCCCTATTGAGTGTGCGTACATTACCATCCTCAGTGTCCTTTGTTCTTGATTGTCTTTTCTCCTTCACTTGATCGAGTCAAATACTAACTTGATGTCCTTGATGCCTTAACATAAACCCATTTAGGGTATTTACAGGACTGGAGTGCTTCCTTCCTATTTAAAACAGGTGCTGGAGAAGAGGTCCAGCAGGGTGCAGATCTGGTCTGGAGTAAAGCTGSTCCTGTTTTGTAGCGGTTTGTCTTGTTGGAGATGTTTCCTGACAGTTTCCTCTGGGTTTGAAATGGGTTTTACTATGTTTCATGTTGGTAATAATGAGTTTTAGAGATTTACAAAYTGCTTTTCTGCTTTTATTTACRTTTTCCACAAYATCCAAACTGTTTTGGTCTTGGGGTGGTACAACTAATGAACTTTTAGAGTCAGCATAAGTTAAGACAATCACCACAGCTAATCAAGCTAGTCAACACAAAAATGGCTCTCTAACTTTGTAATAAACTGACAGATTATGACCTAAMATTGATGTGTCAGCGCTAAATATCTTCTTCATCACATACGCAAACATCTTGCAATATCACATGATCTTCAAGGTTTTTCCATGCCCAAACTTCTTGTTTTTTACTGAACTGAAGTGTCCAGCTTGTAAAGCATCTCTAAAGAGATTGAAAACATCTTTGATAAAAAAAAATGCTTACCTGAGCAGGTTTTAGAACCAATGTGTTTCCAGCTGCAAGACAGGCTGCACTCTTCCAAGCTAGCATCATGAGAGGGTAATTCCATGGGATTATTATGGCACAAACTCTGCCACAGAGAAACACAAAAACAAACAAACAAACAAACAAAAAAAAAACAGTCACAAACTGTAAAATAAATGTACAGAATGGAACTGCAGTAGGTGTTTAAACTAAAAAAAGAAAGCTGAAATGTTAAAAGGGTGCTGATGCAGCTGCTGTCCAAAACTCTAACACAACTTTGTAATAATCAAAGCTACATTTCAGTGTATAATTTGTACATCGGTGTGTACAGACAAAGTTGTGAGAGTAAAGCCTGAAACATACTCGCTCCGATGCCGATGGGTCGACGCGCAGTCACGTGGTTGTTCGGCAGTCGTTTTTGCACAGAACTTTCATAGTCCCTATGACACCCCCGCACTGAGTTCGGGAAACCCCCCTCCCTGCAACATACTCACTGCATGGAGTTCCCCCGCAACAGCCGATAATGCAGAAAAAAAAGTCAGACTCGTCACTCACCCGACGTATTTATCCACATCTGTCCTGGTTAAAGCTCCACAGTTTTTATCAGTCACATTCCTCCGTACACAACGTCTGTTTTATCTCCATTCATGAGTTTTTCACGGAATGACTATCTTTATAAAACTCTACTTCCTGGTGTCGGCTCTGGGAGCGAGTCAGGTTTTTTTCCCCTCTTTTTTTTTTTTTACCGTGTGCAGCAGCTCATTCAGCACAAACAAACAAGCCATTTAAGTTTTTCACGTTTCGACTATCTTATAAAACTCTGCTTTCTAGTCTGGGAGCGAGTCGTTCTTCTCCCCCCCCCTGAGCGCAGCACAAACAAACACGCCTACGACCAATCAGACCAATCACACGTTACCATCGACACGGGAGGGGGGGTCAAAAAATTTTGCTAGCGGGTTGTGCCAAAAGGGGCTGTCGACACGACGTTGAGAAACCCGGTGACGTAATTTTCGTCATTAAATTGCGACAACCCGTGCTGACGTCGGCAGTTCGCAGCAAGTATGCTTCAGGCTTAAGAAGAGTCTAACTTTCTGTAACCTGTTAATACTTCGGAGGATCCCATATAGCAGACAGGCGTGGGCCAGATCTGGAGTCAAGATTGCGTTGCTGTACTGGCCCCTGCTTTCACAACAAGTTTTTCAACTGGATTTGGGCCAGGTCTGGCAATGATGACAATGTTTCTGTGATGTAATTCCACGACTGGCCCAGCTGTGATCTGATTTATGTGATGCTGGCCCATGCATGGACCACCTCTGGCAAACCATGTCTGGGCCAAGTGTTATTGCACTGTGGGGCCAGAACTGAGACAGACAAGTTCTGCTATGTGGGATGCTTCTGTCTGGACTGCAGAGAGGGCTGGCTTTCATCAAAATCCGATTTAGCTCCAATATTTTTCCCTGACAGTTTGTTGCAGCTTTTATTTATGTTGTGTGATGTACTTCTACTAAAAATCCTATTTCACTATTTCTAATTCAAACAACATATCACATAACACATTTTGAACAGGATAGTAATGAGTCCAGAGATCTACCCCAGAGGTTCTTTCTTGGTGAAGGTCAAGTTCCGGTTGGGCCTGGCTTGGTTGATAGGAATGGTTTTGCCCTACCAAAAGCAAGAAGTCAGAGGGGTTTTATCTGAGATAAACATTTCAAAAGATTGTTTGTATGTCAGTATAAGAGAAAAAATGATCCCACTTGGATTTTGTCGCACCAGCCTGCAAAGTAGCGAAACGTCTGGATGGACATGCCTACATGTGTCTTCAAGGCTAGGGTGTACACAGCACCTGAATCGATGGACTCGATCGTGGCCAGCTCCTCCTGATGCTCCTCCATCAGGTCTGCAAGTCTGAAAGTCGGAGGTTGGAGAGAAAAGAGGTTCGGTCATAACTAAAACCTCATTCAGCTGAGGCATTTAATTGTGATAAACACCATGAACTCTTTAATTGTGATGATGAATAAATAAAAAGCTTGGAATTAAAATTTCAGGGCATCATGTACCATTCCAGAAATAATTAAAGGGCTGGCATTCCTTGAAGAAATCCATGTCGCTTTTTATGCTATAATTTTAAACTAAGATCATGATTTGTTGAAAAATAAATTTGTAGCTGTTTAGGTCAAATGTTGAAAATGTAAAATCCCATGCTATATTGTGTGATCTTGCATTATCTGTCAGAGTGCTTGGAGTATGTGTTGTGAACAGTTCTCAGCTACAAACTCTATCGTGGCCACTTTAAATGAGCAAATGTTAACCAGTTGTATATGTACATCCAATGAATGTTTTGAGAGTTAAATTAAACTTGTTTAGTGATTCATGTGGTACTAACAGTACAGACAAACACAACCACACATACATGCTCTTCTATCCTCGTAGACACTTTGCATAGACTTCCATTCATCGCCGCAGCTTGGGGAGGTGATTTGTTGTCCATGTACACTCACCGGCCACTTTATTAGGTACACCTGTCCAACTGCTCGTTACCACTTAATTTCTAATCAGCCAATC